CTTGGGTTATAAATGATGAGTGATGCAACTTAGTTAAACTTCTCAGTACTAAGACATCATTTGTTCTATTACAAAATGTCATCTTTATCAAATTGTCCAGCGTTAATCATATCAGTATCACTAAAATTGCTGGATAAGTCTGCAGTTTAACAGTTTATCTCTAAGCAATGTTTCCTTTTTCTTAGTAATATAAAGCATGCCTTAAGAAAGAATAGTTTCAGATAGTCAATACTTTTTAGAGGTGGTATATTATAAATAGTAGTCTGTGTGTAATCAGAAGGTTTTTTTTTAACCTTCTTGCATAGAAAGAAAAAAATGTATATGGAAAATTATATAAAGTAAAATGTTTTTTAAATTCAGGTGAAAATAATAATACTACAAAAATGGAGATATAACAACCTACTGCATGTTATAGATTTAATTTGATTTAACATAGTTCATAGTTTCAAATAACAATTGGCATGTGTTTTCAGGAAAAAAAAATGGATGAAACTGAATCAAATCAAAGTCTTGAATCAAACCCAAAATCCTTCTAGAAATATCTACAGTTCCCATCTTCAAAGCCAAAGGATGTTGATTTGAAAAATCTGAGTATGGAAAAGCAACCAGATGAAATACTGATGATAAAGGATCTGCTATGGTCTTAGCCTTATTCCTTTTAGGTCACCTTTTTTAGGAAAACATTTTTTTTTGTTCTCTCTCTCCACCCACATATTCACACACACATTTATGTACACACATATCTGAAAATCTTCCTAATTCTACATGCATGTATATGTATACTTTTAAAATATTTTATTCAGTGGAGTATAACCGACAAACATCTTAAATTACAATTCGGTGAATGTTCACAAATGGAATGCATACCTGTGGCGATGACCTAGATCAACATTAACAGCACTCTACAGCTCCCAGCTCCCTCTTTTGATCTTTGATCACTATTCTAATAGCTAACTTTAGGTTAGCTTTACCTGTTTCTGACTACCATATAAATAGAATAAAGCAAATGTATTTCTTTGTATATGGCTTCTTTCACTTGTTTGTGAGATCTGCCCACATTGTTGTGAATCATAGTATTTCATTTCTTAAAATTTATGTCTTGTTTTCTATTAAATGAATACATTATATTTATTTATCTAGTCTACTCTTGATGTACATTTGAGTTATTTTCAGTTTGAGGGTATTTTGAATAATGATACTATGAAAATTCTTATATATGTTTAGGTGCACGAATGTATGCATTTTTATCAGACATATATCTAGAGTCTCAGGAATGTATATGGTCATTTTATTTATTTTTAAATATATTTTATTGATTTTTAAAGAGAGGAAGGGAAGGAGATAGAGAGTTAGAAACATCGATGAAAGAGTCATCTATCACATCCTACTGGGGATGTGCCCACAACCAACGTACATGCCCTTGACTGGAATGGAACCTGGGACCCTTCAGTCCGCAGGCTGACACTATCTCCACTGAGCCAAACCAATTTCGGCCATTTATGGTCATTTTAGTTGATGCAGTTTTCAATAGTGTTTGAACCAAGTTCCATTCTCACAAACCACATAGGAAAGTTCCAGATCTTGATAGTGCATTATCAGTATGTTCAGTTTTAGGCATTCTTTAAGTCCATAATGTTATCTCACTGTGACTTTAAATAGCATTACTCTAATGATGAATGAACTAGAGAATGTATTTATATGTTTATTGGGTATTTGCATATTATCTTTTGTGAAGTGCTCATTCAGATTTTTTTCTCATTTTTAATTGGGTTTGTCCTTTCTTACTAATTTGTATGGATTCATTACATATTCTGGGTTTTAGTCATTTTTGATAAGATCTATTAAAAATGTTTGTCCCACTGTCTAGTTTTCCTTTTATGGTCATAAAGGAAATATTTTTTAAATATTTTTATTGATTTCAGAAAGGAAGGGGAGGGAGGGAGGGAAGGAGGGAGGGAAGGGGAGAGAGAGAGAGAGGGAGGGAGGGAGGGAGGGAGGGAGGGAGGGAGAGAGAGAGAGAGAGAGAGAGAGAGAGAGAGAGAGAGATATCAATGATGAGAGTGAATCATCAATTGGCTGCCTCCTGCACACCCCCCAATGGTGATAGAGCCCACAACCTGGGCATGTACCCTCACCTGGAACCGTGACCTGCAGGTTCATAGGTCGATGCTCAACCGCTGAGCCATGCCAGTCGGGATCCTTTTAATGATCTCTTAATGGTGTTTTTGAGGAACAGAGTTTTTAATTTTAATGCAGCCTAATTTATCAACCTATTTTTATGAGTAGTACCTTGTGTCATATATAAGGAATCTCCACGTAACCAAAAGTCATACAGATATTTTCTCATGTTAACTTTTAGAAATAAAATTCTTTTGCTTTTAAAAGACAAACAATTCATCTGAGATGGACTTTTTAAAATTGTGGAATGTTTTTATCAGGTTCCATATGAATATCCAAGTGATCTTGTACTGTTTACTGAAAAGACCACCCCTCATTCTTCAGTGTCATATTTGTTATAAGTCAAATGATAAGTCCTGTGTCATGTGTACATTTATTTATGCTTTATTTTTGTCCTTTGTTCTATTTATCTTTATACCAATATCATACTGTCTAAATAACTTCCCATTAGTAGTATAGTATATCTTTTTTGTAAAATTGTTCTGAGTATCTTTGACTTTTCATTTCTATATAAATTTCAGAATCAACTTGTTAATATTAATAGCAACTTTTTATGATGAGATTTATACCAGAACTACACTGAATCTCTATACCAATTTGGGAGAGTTGATATCTTATAGTATATACTAAACAAACATTTGTAAATATATTCCAGCCAAATGTAAAGAGGATAATATATCGGGATCATGATGAGTTTAGCCAAGGAATAAAAATAAAAAAACAATCAATCAGTGCAAATTACCATAACAGAAAAAAAAAATCCCAAAAGCTTCTCACTGGGTGGAGAAAAAAATATTTGCTCAACATTAAAATTCATCCATGATAAAAACTCTTTGCAAACTAGCACTGGAAAGGAACTTTAATGTTTTAAAAAGAGATACTTCATCTCTGACTCTGGGATTGGAACAAGGATTCGGCTGTAGCACATTTTACTGAAGGACCTTGCCAGCAACAAGGAAACTAACTGAGACTTCTTACTTAGCAGCTGGCTTCTGCAGAGTGACAGTGCCAAAAGACAGAAGTCGCTAATCTGGAAACTGGCACAGTGTCACTTCTACTGTGGTCTATTAGTTAGAGCAGTCACAACGTCACCCAAACTTAAGAGAAGGGGACACAGACCCCACCTTTCTATGGGAGAAGTGTCAAAGAATTTACCACCACCAATCTGGCACAAGTTCTTACATGTCAAGAGCTATTTATTTTTGCAATAAAATTTGAACTCTCACTTGGTTGGAATAACTTGAGCTCCAGTTTGATTGAATATAAAATTATGAGTCATTAATTTGCTTCATTGGGGTCTACTGTTTTTCAACATGGAATGTTGCTGTGGAAAATGCTGTGACAAGATTCATTCTTTTACTACTTAAAGCCAAAGTGGGTTCTATTTGTTTATTTTATTTTGTTTTTATCTTGGCCTAATTGCATACATATATCAGCTTTTATTTTAAGGATAGTATATCCCTCAGACATATTTTACCTCCTTTAGCATATTTTTAATAGTATTAAATAAGTATCCATACTTTTAAGTCTATATTAAATATATATATGTGTGTATATATATGTATGTATATATATATATATGGAGATATATGGTGTGTATGTGTATATGTGTATATGTATGTATATGAAGTATACGTATATACCCAGAGATATATATCTCCAAACTTTTAACCTCTTTTAATTCCTATTATTTTGATAATTTTCTCAAGTCTCTTCTTCCTGTGTTTGCCAGAAATCTCTTTCTATGCTTCTTGTAATATAACTATCAGTAGTTTTATTATCTTCTTTAAGCTCATTTCTCCATTCCTTGAGTTCTTTTTTATGGAAATTATATTGTCTATTTCAGTGGTTGGCAAACTGCAGCTCAGAGCCACATGCAGCTCCCAAGCCACGGTTTTGTCGCTCTTGACTAATGAGTTTGTCGATCACTGGTCTAATTGATAGATCAATGACTTTTACTTGCTTTGGATATGTATTCTTATGTTTGTAGTATTTCTTTTGTCCTTATTCATTAATGAAGTCACAGATTCCTCCTTCTCTTCTTTCACTTCTTTCTTTAGTACTTATCTTAATAGGTGTGATAGAGAACTCTTTACTGATTGGTATAGGAGGAATTAGCTGGCCCTTTGAAGTGTGCTCTTGTAATTCTTCCTTTCCCTCATTTTTGTTTCTAACCGGAAGTAGAGAACTTGCTCTAGACTAACAGAGAGACTTTCTGGTACATAATGATGTCAAGCATGTCTGATTTTGAATATGATCCTTTAAACCAGTAGCATAGATCCATGTAGTTTCTGTCCCACCTAGAATTTATTCTATAAAAATTGTATATCAGGATACTAAATAAAAATTTACTTCTGTTTTCCAAGCAACAGCTTGGAACATTGAGGTCACACTTCAGTTGAAAACCCATCCCCACTTCACCCCCACCACCACCATATTTTGGAAAATCCATTCTCTACCACTGTGCCTCTCCCTCAGAGTGATCCATTATAGGGTTATGGATATATTCAATTCTTGTTTTCTTTGATACTTTAGGGTGACTTTAGAATGGGTAGAGGGACAAAGATTCTTTACTTCAAAATATATATTATAGCTGTTGGTTAGTTGGAACTATGCATATGAATTGATAGGTTAGTTTGCAGTATTTGACCATATGAATTTGACATTAAAATCTATTTTTATTTCTTTTATATATTAATTTGACCAGCCATTTTGTTCCAAAATATCATATAACTAATTTTATTAAATATTTTAATTGACGTTTTAGTTTATTGCTTCATTTCTTTTAAAATTTAATGTACTGGTTTCCTTTTGCTTTTCAGATGCAGCAACTGTTCCATGAAAATTATGAACACAATCGAAAGGGTTATATTCAAGACCTTCACAATAGCAAAATCCACGCAGCCATAACCCTTCATCCCAACAAAAGGCCTGCCTACCAATACAGGCTTCATAATTACATGCTGAGCCGCAAAATTTCCGAACTTCGCTACCGCACCATCCAGCTCCACCGCGAGAGGGCGCTGATGAGCAAGCTCAGCGACAGTGAAGTGAGCAAAGAGGATCAGCAGCTGGGAGTGATGCCTTCTTTCAACCACTTCCAGCCTCGGGAGAGGGATGAGGTGATAGAATGGGAGTTCCTGACAGGAAAGCTCCTTTACTCGGCATCTGAGAACCAGCCTCCTCGACAGAGCATCAGCAGCATCCTCCGAACCGCGCTGGATGACACCGTCCTCCAGGTGATGGAGATGATCAATGAGAATGCCAAGAGTAGAGGCCGGGTCATTGACTTCAAGGAAATCCAGTATGGCTACCGCAGGGTTGATCCTATGCACGGCGTGGAGTACATTTTGGATTTGCTCCTCTTATACAAAAGGCACAAGGGGAGAAAAGTGACCGTGCCGGTGAGGCGGCATGCCTACCTTCAGCAGTTGTTCAGCAAGCCTTTCTTCCGAGAAACGGAAGAGCTGGATGTCAACAGTCTCGTGGAGAGTATTAACAGTGACACTCAGTCATTTTCCTTTATATCTAACTCGTTAAAGATACTATCCTCTTTTCAAGGAGGCAAAGAAGTGGGAGGGCACAACGAAAAGAAAATACACATTCTCGTTCCTCTCATTGGAAGGTACGACATTTTCCTGAGGTTCATGGAGAGCTTTGAAAATACTTGTCTTATCCCAAAGCAGAACGTAAAACTGGTCATCATCCTTTTCAGTGGGGATTCTGGCCAAGATGCCAGCAAGCACATTGAGCTGATACAAGACTATCAGAACAAGTACCCCGAAGCAGAAATGACCCTGATCCCCATGAAGGGAGAGTTTTCCAGAGGTCTCGGTCTCGAAGTGGCTTCCTCCCAGTTTGACAATGATACTTTGCTGCTATTTTGTGATGTTGACTTGATTTTCAGAGGAGACTTTCTCCAACGATGTAGGGACAATACAATTCAGGGACAACAGGTGTACTACCCCATCATCTTTAGCCAGTACGATCCAAAGGTAACCAATGGGGGAAAGCCTTCCAGGGATGATGACTTTGTCTTCTCAAAGAAGACTGGATTCTGGAGAGACTATGGATATGGAATTACCTGTATTTATAAAAGTGATCTTCTGGGTGCAGGTGGATTTGATACCTCAATACAGGGCTGGGGACTGGAAGACGTAGATCTCTACAATAAAGTTATTCTATCTGGCTTAAGGCCCTTCAGAAGTCAAGAAGTAGGAGTGGTACATATTTTCCACCCAGTTCATTGTGACCCTAACTTGGACCCGAGGCAGTATAAGATGTGCTTAGGATCCAAGGCAAGCACTTTTGCCTCAACCATGCAACTGGCTGAACTCTGGTTGGAAAAACATTTGGGTGTCAGGTACAATCGAACTCTCTCCTGACAGTCCAGGCAACACACATTGCCTTTTTAAAGGGGAGTTTACCTCATTGTTGGTGGTGTTATTTTTATTTTTATTATTGTTATTTTTATTGTTATAATTATTATTGTCATAATTTTATTTTGTTGTCCCGGTCTTAAACAACTCTTGGTTGTCTTCCAAAGGGTGTTTGTTGACCTCGAGCAAGAAGAGTCTGCAATTCACTGATTTTTTTCAGATTTCTACTGAAGTCAATATAGGTAGTACTTTTATATATCTTTATCTGAGATTGAGTTAAATTGTGGCAATCAAATGACTTTTGAAGTTCAATCATCATGAGAGACAGCTTAGAAGAATGTTCACTTGGGGCTTACAGATGCAATATCAACTTTTATTTTGTTTGTCAAATTCAATGTGATACAAGTATTTACTGGTGAAAGGTACCACAAAAGTGCTTTATGCTTCCTATGGGGAAGGGACTCTGTAACATAAACTTGAGTTTTGTAATTTATACAAGGACTTAAATATATACAATAATTTTCTTCATCTTTAGAATTTTTAAAGTAAATGAACACTTATGATTGTATGTTTATTTTTTAAAAAGAAGTTTTAAAAAATTGAGGAGTTTTGTTCCACAAGCAACCGGTACTGGCTACCCTGGTCTTAAGAAAATTATATACTCCTCACAACCGTCTGCTATAAATGCGAATGAACTTTATTTTCTCAAGGAAATATGATTTAATTAAATATTCATGTACATTTTAGAAGCTTTATGAAACAATGTCTTTCATTTGCTGGCAAGAAGATAAAAATGACAGAACCTGGTTATTTATAATAAAACACAGGTATAACAGTACTCTTTTTCAAAAACGCTGAAAAAGTTGTGTTGTTTTCTTTTAGTCCTACTCCATGTATCTCTTCTAGTGGTTATAATCGCCAAATGTGCTTGCTACACAATCTGGAGAAGTTAATAAGAAATTATGGACATGCTATTTGTATGATTACGCTTTAAATCTGGCCTTCATAGATTAAAATGAGCGGCTTCTTTGTTCAATAACTTTCAGTCCGGGAGAAGCATTCCTTCCCCAACCTCTTCAGCTTTGTAATCAACCTGAAACCAAAGAAAGCAAAACTGCAAATAAAGGGGTGCCTGTCGTAAGAGCAGCCCCCTTTTAGAGGCATTCCCTTACCCAGAAGTTTTGACTTCAGGTTAAAGACGTTAGTACATTATTAAAATGTTTTTTAACTGTTTTCCCTAAGGTAGTGATCTCATCAGTCAACAGAGCGGCAAACCGGCAGTTTGCCAACCACTGCCTTAGGGTAAGGCACACTGGGTTCCTATAACTTGGAGGACAGAGAAGCAGTGGCTCAGAAAGCAGCATGTGGTAGGGAAACAAAGGTAGCTTGGCTAAGTAATGTAAGGTGCACTGATGACTTCATTCTCCCATGAAAAGCTCATCACTGTGGCCAGGATAGGGCTATAGATATCCTACTGGTTATTTGAGACTCATATTGATAGAGTCTCCCTGCTTCAACAGATCTTCTCTTGGGTGGGGAGAGCTAAAGAGGAGAGACACAAAGTTTTCCTAGGTCCACATCTAGTCTGGGCTATTTCTTTAAGGACAAGGCAGTCCTAGGCGAGGGCTCCCCGGTGCTGGCAGCACTGAGCCCCTCACCCAGGCACTCCCAGCAGTTAGAAAATGGCTTCATCTCCTGGGCTTCCTCCTGGAAGAAGGAACTGCCCAGGGCCGATCTGAAAATGCAGCTGTGTGGCCGCTGACTAGAGATGGGCTCCAGCTTTCTTGTGTGAGAAACAGAGGAACTTGGCAATTTACTTTTCCAGTGCCCACTTGTTCTCTTGGTTGGACTACCAGTCCACACGTGGGTATTTCATTTCTGTAGCTCCGCATCTATTCTCTAGGCGTAATGGTCTCCACTTTTAGATTTAGGACTGTCTTGGCTCTGACAGAGTTGCTTTAGCCAAGTCTGTATGGGTGAAGTGACAAAAATAGTCAAGCCATTCCGTGGTGGTGTTCACGTGGACGGCTTGTGCTGTCGACTGGCTGAGACCACATAGAAGGGCTGTTACTGGCATCAGGAATTCTGAGCACTTTTTTCTTTTACTGCTAACTGAGGTCCAGAAAACAATATCAATATTCTGAGACCTGTCGTAAGGATAGATTTAAAAGGACAATGCAAGTAAAATGGAGAGTGTGGTGTTGAGTGGGCAGCAGGTGATCAATAAAGATGATGTTGAAGGTTGATGAAATTGTTATTGGGGAACATTGAAATAGAACATCCATAGCTGACTAAGTAAGGTAATGTCAATAACGTACACATGTTATAATTCACATTATGCTGCTTTTTCAACCTTAGAGGAATTTTGTGCAGTAGAGACTAAACAGATTTTTTAAAACACAATTTTCCTAATATAAGTCTAGTAGAATTTCAGTCAGGAAATATTGCAGTGCAAATGCTTGAAAAGCCACAGGGAATCATCGTGCAAAATTATAAACCAGAATTTAAATCCACCTGTATTAACTGCAGCACAGTGTGTATGTTCAAAGGCGATCTTTGAACTACCTTGTGTATAATTTCACCAGTATAACGGCAGGATGCCTTGTCATCCCATGGCAGCTGCCACATGACTAAGACCTGGGGTGTTTTAAGGGTGGCCTTTATATTTAATCCTCTGTAGAACTCTGTTATTTCAGTTGTCTAAGTTAAAGAAAAGAGCAGACCCTGATTTATTTTCTTCATTAATAAATCACTCATAATTGCTATTTAGTAATAGTTCTTCCCAAATAACTATCTTTATTGCTTGTTAACATATATACTGTTCAGCAAAATAAAACCTGCAACAGAGCTAAGTCATGCTGTGTAAAAAAAATAAGCTATTCAAGAAAGGGTTTGTGAAGACCAGAGCAGAGTACAATGCTGAATTATTGAATCTGTCAAGTTTTTTAGCATCAAAACGTGCCATTAATTCCTTTCTGATGAATATGACATTATGGAGATTATATGTTACAGTTAAGGGAGTATTATCGTGTCTGTTGCAGTATTCAACAATGTAATGGGGGGGGGGGGCGCGCAAAATGTCTTCACTGAAAGAGATTATCACCCCTTACGCAAATACTACATGGCCTCTCGTCAATCAGATCCCAATGACCATACAATTTATAACAATCACTTTCAAATCTATTTCAGTGCAGATTTTAGTCTTATTGTGTGAAGAAAGAAAACCAAAGTTCAGAACAGTATGTGCTACATTTTGTCTATAGAAAGGGTGTGTGTGTGGGGGGGGGGGGAGCATTTGTCTTTTCTGCTTAAGAAACTCAGTCTGAAAATATTAAATGGGAAATCCCAGAAATAAGTGATTCATAAATGTTAAATTGCACACTGCTCTGAGCAGTGATGAAATCTCGCGAGTCCCGCGCTGTCCAGCCCCATCCCGCTCGGGGAGCCCCATCTGGCCCAGCACAGGAATCACCCATTTGCCCGGCGTCTCCATGCTGTAGACCTCTGACCTGCTGCTTTCCTGGTAACCGTCTTGGTTACCAGATCCGCTGTCACAGTGTGTGGTGCTAGTGCTCAAGTGACCTTCATTTTACTTCACAATAATGCCCGAGCACAACAGGAATGAAGCTGGCAGTTCAGAGACGCCACACAGAAGCCGAAAGGGGCTTCCTCCAGGTGAAAGTTCTCTGTTTAATAAAGAAAGAGTTGCATGCTGAGGTTGCTGAGCTCTAAGGTAAGAACGAATCTCCTTCCCTTGAAACTGAAGAAGGAAAAAGAAACCCCTGCCAGTAGAGGGGCGGGGGGGGGACACTACACTGCTTAAGCGGCACATGCCTGATCAGTGCTACCTCATTCACCTCTGCATCTCATCACATGGACACTGTATCCTCTCACATCATCACCAGAAGAAAAAGGGTGAGTACAGTACAATGACCTGTTTTGAGAGACTTTATTTACATAAGTCTTATAACACTATATTGTCATAATTGTTTTATTGTATTGCTATCTGTTGTGTCTAATTTATAAATTAAATTTTACCATAGGTATGTATTAATGGGAAAAACACATAGTTTATATATGGTTCTGTACTATTTAGGGTTTCAGGCATCCCAGGGGGTCTTGGACGTGTCCCCACAGGTAAGCAGGAACGACGGGAACCATTGAAGACAGATTTCTCTGGGAAGCAGCCTGTGATCATGGCGGTTATGGGACGAGTGGGCCACTAAAGGGACATGTTACCAGTTCTGGTGCTGCTGACTTGCCTCCTTCCCCATCTCTACGAGTCATTGTCAACCGTACAGTAAAGGTTGTCTGACTGTCTGTGTCCAGACACCTCCTAGACTTAGCATTTGTGAGCAGTAGCAACAGGAGCAGTAGGACAGCATCGTGGATATGCCAGTGCAGCTCTGCCTCTGTGTGTCCTGCAGCCTCGCTAGGGCACCTGCCACGCTGCCAAGGTTGCCCTGACAGATGGTGGGCGTGATGGTGCCCCCAGGTGGTAATACAGCCATATCTGAAGCAAGCAGCAAACCACCTGGCACTGGCACAGAGATGCCAGCACATTCCTGTATTGCAGCCAATTTGACACGCACCTATTTCCCTCTTCTTCTCTTAGGTCTGAGGTTGCCAAGGTCGGCACCCTATTTGAAATTCTACTCCATTCAGGATTTGATTTCAATCGCATTCAATCCATGTGTGTTAGTGTACATGTTGGTATAAAAGCTGAGATTTTTGAGTTTTGTTCAGTTTCCACCCAACTTCAGTCTTTATTCATGGGATTAATTCTGAAGGAATTCTTGACTATCATTAGAAGCATAAAAATTTATTTTTAATAGATCTATAAAGAGAGTGACTTCAACAGAAAAGAGAGAGGAGCATTTTTCCTGCAGAATACTTGTTCTTATCTGCAATATTAACCGGTGAACAAATATTTACTTACAAGGTGTTTAGGAATGATACTCTCAAGTAGAAACTCTAAGCCTGAAATATGTGTCACCTAAAAGCAC